AATTAAGTACATCTAAATCTCTCTAATAAAAATTTCTTGGCCAGGCACGGTGGCTCATGCCTGTAATCCGAGCACTTTGGGAGGCCAAGGCGGGTGTATCACGAGGTCAAGAGATCGAGACCAACGTGGTCAACATGGTGAAACCCCGTCTCTACTAAAAATACAAAAATTAGCTGAGCATGGTGGTGCGTGCCTGTAATCCCAGCTACTCAGGAGGCTGAAGCAGGAGAATTGCCTGAACCCAGGAGGCGGAGGTTGCTGGGAGCCGAGATCGCGCCATTGCACTCCAGCCTGGGTAACAAGAGTGAAACTCCGTCTCAAAAAAGAAAAAATTGCTTAATAGGAAAACCTCTTCCTAAATACAGTATATATCTATGTCTATACACACACACATATATACATTAATAGTTTTCTCATGTTGTACTTGCACGAGTGGTTTTTCTTTCCCTGTGTCATTATGAAGCAGTGGCCACCTTGCTTCCATTTACTTTCAGTAACCATTACCGTGTTATATATAAGTTCATAATAATTTAAAAGATACAAGTTCATTAAATGTGGTGATAGGTAAGAAATAATATTTAAACATGAAGAGTGTAAGAGGTCACGTCTGCCTTGACAGGATGGAGGTTAAAACAAAGTTCCAGCTAACTTTACCATCTATTTTATTAGTATGAAAATAAAAGTAAACAAATAGGAGTTTTGTCAGTGCACACAAAGAAGAGACATTCAGAAGTCAGTAAGTATAATGTTAAGACTGCAAAAATTAATGCTGTGCCCCTTAATAATAGAACTCTTCAGGCTTATTTTTATGACTCACGGCTGTCTACCACTGGCCCTCCTAACTCCAATGCAGACCGAGTTTGGGGGTTCTCCAAAAACTTGCATATTTACATATTAAAACTACTTGACCACAACTACCTTTTTGTAACTGACTGCTTTCAAGTTCTTTGTGTGTTTAATTTCACTGAAACTGCATTATAAAACTGGTAAGATTATTGACAAAAACAAACAAGAACAAACTTTCACATGCAGTTGACTACATTATATGATTTCAAATAAGATAAAATCAATTTGTAAACAAGTTTAGTGGTGTGGTTTGGGAAATCTTTAAAATGACTTGATTTTAACTCCCATAGTTATTAGCGTAACTCGTTATCACAGTTAAGTTACTTTTCCCTCCTTAAAACAGGCCACAGGCTTATTTATTTTTATTTTAAGTAGATTATCTAGAGATCATGGATCTAGCAAACTCATGTCTAACACAGTTAGAACTTAAAACTCAGGTATATAAAGACATTTCAAAGATTTATATACACATAATTCATAAGAAAGACCTTATGTAAGAACATACTTACTCTGATTTTAAAAGTCTTACAAGTATGTGTAACACAGTTTGGAACCTTAACAAAAACTAAAATGTTTCCCAGGCTTCATAGTTTTCAGAAAGTGCATATTAATTCATAGCAAAGGCACCAGGCTCTCCCTCAGGCATGTTATCTTTTATTTTACACAAAATTCCTATGAACTTGGTTGTCTGGATTCTTAACCTGCAGTGAATTACATAAGAAAGTGAAGAACTGGCTGAGGCAGGCAGATTATCAACTAACCTGACAGCAAGATCAGGTGACAGAAAAGGTATGAGACATAGGTTTGAAAAACGGCAAACTGGGGCCATTTAGTGAAGCAGTAAATACTCCCCATTAGCCCCTGAAGACATCAATATATGTGGGTCCAATATAATAGGTGAAATTAATAATGATGTCCACTAATTCTTTAAAAAACATTAAAGCCGGGTGCGGTGGCTCACGCCTGTAATCCCAGCACTTTGGGAGGCCGAGGCGGGTGGATCACGAGGTCAAGTCAAGACCATCCCGGTCAACATGGTGAAACCCCATCTCTACTAAAAATACAAAAAATTAGCTGGGCATGGTGGCACGTGCCTGTAATCCCAGCTACTCAGGAGGCTGAGGCAGGAGAATTGCCTGAACCCAGGAGGCGGAGGTTGTGGTGAGCCGAGATCGCGCCATTGCACTCCAGCCTGGGTAACAAGAGCGAAACTCCGTCTCAAAAAAAAAAACATTAAAAATAATAAGTATCTTGTTTTAAAAGTAGAGAAATATTTGTAAAGAACTATTTCTATTTAAAATGGCTAAAATGACATAAGTTTTAGTGCTTAAAAAGATAAGCTTCGATTATGTGGATAATCCATTTGTGTGGACATCTTGTTTATTTTCCAATAATGTAGGATAAGATGAGGCATATCAAAATAACTCAAAATCATGGAACTAATCAATTCATGTATAATGATATGGTTCATCAGAATAAATGTCATGAATTTAAAAATCACCACCAATTCCTTTATTTTCTAGATTATATTCTTTTAAAGTTCCCTTTTCTCCTGTACTTGAATATGCTATAAAATCGTGAACTCTTTCTTTTAGAACATCCAGTTCATTTTGCATCTTTAATATGCTATTATCATACTGAATTCCTTCAAGGGTTTTCTGCATCTCCATTATTTCAGACACTGCTTTCAGCATATCATCTTCCATATTAAACATCTGCATAGTCAAGTCTTCCATTTTCTTTTCTGTTCCTATCAGATCCTGAGAAACTCTGAGAACCGAGTGAATAGCACTTTCAATTGTTGGCAAATGTGTCTTGCATTCTTCAACTTTGGGTTCATAGTCGGAAAGTTTATTAGTCAGATCTTCATCTCTGGCAAAGAGGGCATGCTGTTCCTCTTCTAACTTTTCAACTGCCTTTGTATCAGAGCTTAGCTGCTCCTCTACTCGCAGGAGATCTTCTTCTTCTTGTCTTTTTACTGTTCTAATATTTCTTAGTGTGCTGTCTTCCAAATCTTTTAGCCGTTCAGTGAGCAGTTTTATTTCCTGCTCAGCCGAGTTAATTTGGACAGTTACTTGAGAATGTGTATGTTTTGCTTCTGATTTGAAAATGTCTGTATTAGCATTCATTTCTTCTAGGCTTCTCTTCCAGAAATCTGTAATATTCTGAAATTTCTCATTTAGGCTTTGCATCCTTTGAGTAAGCACCTTTTCATTATTTTGAACGTCATGCATGATATCTTGGAGGTTGGATACTTCCTGCTCAAACTGGGTCATCAAAGACATGGATGATGTAGCTTCCTGCAGGATGCTTTCGGTAGTCTCAAGCTGCATTTATAACACAAAACAATTTCCAAGGCTTCTTAATAATTTTCATATTAGAGAAACACACTTTAACAAACAGGAGTATAACACATGCCAAGTTAAAATTCTGAAGATGTCTAAAATATCCAAGTACATCAGAATCATACTGACAAAGACATTTATTATGTCAATAGTTTTCACAAAGCTTAGCCCTGTGTCTTTTTTTTTTTTTTTTTTGAGATGGAGTCTTGTTCTATCACCCAGGCTGGAGTGTATGAAGCCATCTCAGCTCACTGCAACCTCTGCTTCCCAGGTTCAAAGGATTCTCCTGCCTCAGTCTCCCGGGTAGCTGGGATTACAGATACGCACCACGATGGCTGGCTAATTTTTGTATTTTTTGTAGAGATGGGGTTTCACCATGTTGGCCAGGCTGGTCTTGAATTCTTGACCTCAAGTGATCCGCCTGCCTCAGCCTCCTAAAGTACTAGGATTACACCACTCCTGGCCAGCACTATGTTAAAAAAATACACCTGAATATATAATCCTAGATATTTGAGCATTTCTATAGAATCATATTCAAGAGAAAAATAATGTTAAAGGACCTGAAATAGATCACAATTTCCTCTTTTTAACTCCAGTGGTAACTTTGATGTCATTTTTATGGTTATTTGGCTTTTTAGAAACTGTAACATTATATAAAATTTTATATCTTTCCTAAATCCTATAGTTCTGGAAGGGTTTCTGCCCGAAAAAAAAATTTCCACCAACTTCTTGCAGAGAAGGTACTAGAATCAGGTCTTACAGATACAAAAGCAAAAACAATTAAAAAACAGTTTAGTGAGACAAGTCAAATGGAATGGTAAAGTGTTTTAAGTATTTGTAAATTATGCTAAGCCCCTGACACCTCCTAATCTGTATCTGGAATACAGAAGGCCAAGTCATAGACCTCTTTTAGTCTACACTTAGATAACAGCTTTAGAGACTACAGAAAAGCTTGGAAGTGATCATTAATTTATCATATGCTTATAGCATTATGCTGAAGACATAATACTGAGCAAGATACACTTCTGCCCCTAAGCAGCTTAGTTTAACTGATGAGAAAGACAAGTGTTTATGCACTATGACAGGGGAAGTGCTATGGAAGCATTTAGGTGGAGATCCAACCTAGACTTCAGTGATAAAGGACAGTATTTTAGAAAAAGCAATATCTAATATCTGCTTCCAGTTGCTTGTTCTCTAAATTAGCCTACACACTACTACTAGAATAAGCATGTTGGCTAGGCTGGTATCTTAACTCCTGACCTCAAGTGATATGCCTGTCTCGGCTTCCCACAGTGCTGGGATTACAGGCACGAGCCACTGCTCCTGGCTTAGGCTAGCCATTCTTAAATGCATAGACATATATCCTTAAAAAGTAGAAAATAAGGAAAAAAAATGGATAGATCTTTTCCCAATAAGTGCTATTCATATTCTAATTTTATGTCCAAAGATCAACCATATTTTCAGATGAGACCGAGCGCGTTCAGGATGGTAATGCCATAGACATGATCAACCATATTTTCAATGCTCTAGATACCTGGCACATAAGTAGAAAATTAACATCATGCCAATATGAACAAACTGGTCTTTTTCAACACTAGAAGTTGTCATATTAAAAAATCCTTGTCCTTCAAAATGCAATCTGAGTCAAAATGGATCAGAGGGAGAATGTCAAGAGGTAGGAAGATCAGTGAGAGTTAAAACAGTAATAGTCTAAAAGGCAGGAAGAAAGAAGTCCTGAGCTGGGATAAGGAAATGACAGTGGGGAAGTAAAATGGGAAAAACTTCTCAGATAAGCCAGTTAATAATTACCTTTTCTGAAATTAAACTGATTTTACTTTGAAGTCCTTGGAATTCATTGGCTTCTAATTTCAGTAACTGATACTGGTTTTCCACCTTTGCAAATTGTTCTGACTGCTGAACTACAAACCTGGAAAAGAAAAGAAAAGAAAAATCACTACTCTCCAATTCATATCCATTTAAATCTGAATTTCAAGGATAATTATACCTACTTCTGTTAAGAACAATATAAATTCTGGTATGGGTAGTTGTATTTTTTTTTCTTTTTCACAGACAGGGTCTCACTCTGTCACCCAGGTTGGAGTGCAGTGTCACAATCATAGCTCACTGCAGCCCTCAACTCCTGGGCTCAAGTGATCCTCCTACTTTAACCTCCCAAGTAGCTAGGACGACAAGCTGGTTTAATTTATTTTTCTTTGTAGAGAGACAATATTGCTATGTTGCCCAAGGTGGTCTTTAGCTTTTTTTTTTTTTTTTTGAGATGGAGTTTTGCTCTTGTTGCCCAGGCTGGAGTGCAATGGCATGATCATGGGTCACTGCAAACTCTGCCTCTTGGGTTGAAGCAATTCTCCTCCTCAGCCTCTCAAGTAGCTGGGATTATAGGTGACTGCCACCATGCCTGGCTAATATTTTAACATTTTTAGTAGAAATGGATTTTCACCATGTTGGCTGGTTTTATACTTCTGACCTCAAGTGATCTGCCTGCCTCAGCCTCCTAAAGTACTAGGATTAGAGGCATGAGCCACCATGCCTGGCCCCAAGGTGGTCTTGAATTCCTGGCCTCAAGTGATCCTCCTACCTCAGCCTCCAAAAGCGCTGGGATTACAAGTGGAGGTCAACATGCCCGGCCTAAATGCAGCTTTTATCAGTTTATTTTGACAGATTTACATGTGGTAGGTACTGATTTAACTCATGCAAAGATGGGTAAAGCACTGCCCTTTTTCACAGTTCACAGCTCATGGAATAAGATGGTGTGATATCTGTAATAGATGTATGCACAAGAAATATTTTAGAGGAAGACACAGTGAACAATTTAGAATAGGATCTTTGATCTCTACTGTTTTTCACAAGGCCATATTTGGGTAATATCTAGAAAATAGGTATCTTTATGCTGAAATGTAGGAGAAACAAGACTTATGTATAAAAAAGTATTTTAAAACTGAAATGTGGAAGAGTACACTGATGAAAAGCAGTGGAGAGGAAGAGAGAAGTGATAGTAATTAGATGTTGCAAAATAGCAGGGGGTGTGAAAAGAGGTATAAAAATAGAAAAGAGCTGTTGCTGAAGTGACAATAGATCACGATCAGTGCAAAGTGTATAAATTGTACAATTAGTTGTACTCAACGACATGACCTGTATAGGTGTACTTGAGATGTCATTCTAAAATTGGAGTTTATTCTTCACCACGGGTAGAATCATAAAAAGTTACCTCAATCTTTAAAACAACAAATCAACATCTATTTATACAGGATTTGAAATAGCTAGCACAAAAGAATTGCCTTGGACCTAATACCATTTTGTCTACTTTAACTCAATTCTTCAAGCGCAGAGAAAAACAGTTGAAATTCTTTGCATATTGAGTCTTCAAAAAGCAATGGAGCAGAGCCATGAGAAGTATCGCCCTAAATCACAGTCCTCAGACAAGTGATTCAAAAGCTTTGCTATATTTCTTAGTCACCTGGCAGCTTTAACAAATCTGATGTCTGAGTCTCATGAAGATTCTAATTTAATTAGTTACGGATGTGGCTTGGATGTTGGAAACTCAACAGCTTCCCAGGTAATCTAAGTGCACAGTCAAACTTAGAACCATACTGATTGACCATGTTTTGTGAAATTAATTTCCACTGAAAGACAATCATTTAAAGATCCCAAGGCTTACTGGAGAGGCGAAAGACTTTTCAGAGTAAGTGCAGTTATCTGAGCTTTGTGCATCCTTGCAAAAGTGGTAATGCTCTGAATTCATGAATGGCATCATTAGGCTAACTGTAGCTACAAAACTGTCCAAAGTTAAATTAGACAAATGTTTACAATATTGGAGGAAACAAATTTCTTTTGATGATGGTGGTTAATTTCTATCATATGGCATCCCAGGTTACATTATTAATACAGATTGACTTTTCTCCTGTGTTTAAATTAATAGGAACCTTTAAAGCTTCTGGTTATTAGAAAACACTATTATCCTAAATCTCAAAAGATGGAAGGGTGAACATAATTCTTTTTTCATTGGCTGTTTCATTTCTGGCTTTTAAGAGTTTTTTTTTTCTTTTTTCTTCCAGAGTATAGGATATCTGAGACCAGCAGATAGAGACCCTATTAAGAAAGAGTCCACCCTAAAGAAATAGAGTTGCCTTCCCCACACCTTCCTGACCCTTCCTGCCCTCCCCCAACAAAAAAAAAGAGGAAGAAAAAAAGAAATACAGTTAATTTCAGAGACTAATTTTATTATCCAATACTCCACTCCACCATAGATCTATACTATAGATTAGCAAGCTTATTCAGAATGAAATCATTATTATAAAAGAGACTTTAGTATAAAAGTTGATTAACTACAAAAAATACATTAAAGAACTTTCTCAGGACTTCTTTTCAAATTCAAGCTTTAAACAAAACCTGTGTCATGTTAGTGGAAATATCATTTCTGATGATAATTAGTAGGTTTTTTTGATGGTTAGCCTCTTACTAAAATTAAAAAAAAAAAATTCGGCCGGGCATGGTAGCTCATGCCTGTAATCTCAGCACGTTGGGAGGCTGAGGCAGGTAGATCACAAGGTCAGGAGATCGAGACCATCCTGGTCAACATGGTGAAACCCCCCTCTACTAAAAAAAAAAGAAATACAGAAATTAGCTGGGCATGGTGGTACGTGCCTGTAATCCCAGCTACTTGGGAGGCTGAGGCAGGAGAACCACTTGAACCTGGGAATCAGAGGTTGCAGTGAGCCAAGATCGTGCCACTGCACTCCAGTCTGGTGACAGAGCGAGACTCCCTCTCAAAAAAAAAAAAAAAAAAAAAAAATTCATCCTTGCTACATATGAACAGTGCATATAAGAAAAAAGTACAAAGCTGACTTAGCACTAGTGATGAAAAGTGGTCTGTGCAGTGCTGAGTTAAAATAGATTTAATTTTTCACTTACATGTGCCAGAAACTATTCCAAATACTTCATAAATATTAATTCATTTAACATTAAAGAAGATAATTGACTTTCTTTTTTTTTTTTTTTTTGAGATAGGGTCTTACTCTGCCACCCAGGCTGGAGTGCAGTGGTGTGATCTTGGCTCATTGGAACCTCCACCGCCTAGGTTCAAGTGATTGATTACAGGTGTAAGTCACTGCACCTGGCCTACATGACTGATTCTCTAGAAGTCAAAAATATGCTGAGAAGGCTGCTTCAGTTCTGAAAAACTAAGCTTTCAAACTGGCATCCATGTTAGTGTGTAAGGTGCTTCATTTCCTTTTTATGAGTCGGGGCATATTCTTTTTTTTAATATGGTACTTCAAGTTCTGGGGTACATGTGCAGAATGTGCAGGTTTGTTACATACATATACACGTGCCATGGTGGTTTGCCGGACCCATCAACCCATCATCTACATTAGGTATTTCTAATGGTATCCCTCCCCTAGTCCCCCACCGAGTCAGGGGCATATTCTAAGAAGAGCAATTCCTAGTCTTGCCATTTAGTTGAGGGTAAGAAATAGGCAATTAGGTTCTGCTAAAGGGTATACCTTCTAGTAGAAGGAAGAAAAGAACTATAAGTAATTCTGGACTCAGGGATTTCTATTTCTAGGATCTTGGCCTTTCTTTGGGGATTAATATCAAAGGGATGCCACGAATCATACTGGTTAGGTGGGTGACTGGAATACCTCAGCTCTGTCATTTACTAAGCTGTATAACCACTTTGGGCAAGTTAAATAACTTTGATGTTTCCTCATCTGTGAAGTGGGGATAATACCTTATATTATTATTATTATTATTATTTTTTGAGTTGGAGTCTTGCTCTGTCACCCAGGCTAGAGTGCAGTGGCATGATCTCGGCTCACTGCAACCTCTGCCTCCTGGGTTCAAGCAATTCTCTTGCCTCAACCTCCCAAGTAGCTGGAGGCTATAGGTGTGTGCCACCACACCCAGCTAATTTTTGTATTTTTAGTAGAGACGGGGGTTTTACCATGTTAGTCAGGCTGGTCTCCAACTCCTGACCTAGTGATCCGCCCACCTGGGCCTCCCAAAGTGTTGGGATTACAAGCATGAGCCACTGTGCCAGGTCTAATTTTATTTTTTTGACAAGATCTCGCTCTATTTCCCAGGATGGAGTGCAGTGGTATGATCATGGCTCACTGCAGCCTCCCAGCTCCAATCCATTCTCCCACCTCAGCCTCCTCAGTAGCTGGGAACACAGGCATGTGTCATAATGCCTGGCTACTTTTTAAATTTTTTATAGAGATGGGGTTCTTCCTATGTTGCCCAGTCTTGTCTTGAACCCCAAGGTTTAAGACAAGAAATACTCGTGCCTTGTCTTCCCAAAGTGTTGGGATTATAGATGTTAGCCATAGCACCCAGCCAATACTTTGTAGGGTTAATAGTCTGTTTTTCAATAGGGTCTCATTCTGTTACCTAGGCTGGAGTGCAGTGGCCTGATCATACCTCACTGCAGCCTTGAACTCCTGGGCTCAAGTGATTCTCCCATCCCAATCTCTTGAGTAGCTAGGACCACAAGAACACTACTACCACTGGCTAATTAAAAAAAAATTTTTTTTGTAGAAATGAGATCTGGCTATGTTTTTTTTCTTTCTTTCTTTCTTTCTTTTTTTTTTTTTTTAAGGCTGCTGAAGAGGAAGAGGTCTACGGTGATGCAAACATAGTTCACTGCAGTTCAGACTCCCTGGGGTCAAGCGATCCTCTCACCTTGGCCTCCCAAAGTGCTGGGATTATAAGTGTGAGTCACCACACCCGGCTGAGTTGTTGTAAACACTAAATAGTTATTGCTATTCATAAAAGCTCCTGGAACAATAAAGCATAGCACATCAGCTATTTCCTTTAAGTACTGTGGCCCCTTCCTTTTCTCTTTTTGGTGATGGAGTCTTACTCTGTTGCCCTGACTGAAGTGCAGTGGTATGATCTCGGCTCACTGCAAAC